GATAAAATGGGACCACCTATTTAGATTCCTAGTTACTGTATTTAAAATTTTTTTTATAACTTTATTTTGTTTATTTTTTATGTGGTGCTGGGGATCGAACACAGTGCCTCACCAGTGCTAGGCAAGCACTCTATCACTGAGCTACAACCCCAGCTCCCACTTATGGTATTTTTATATAATAATTTGTCATTTGTTGAGGACTTTCCTCGTTCTATTCAATCACGAAACCTTCTCTGGGGCGCTTATTAGGAAGCCTCTTTTGTCTTCAATATTAGTTTGGCCATTAGTTTAGAAGGTATTTCCACAGGCATGAAGCATTGACCCCCGTTGCCTCTAGAACTTAAACTTTGAAATTTGTGGCTCTGAAAGTAATAAATACTATCGACTTGCCCAGGAAATTCTGTCTTTTCTTTAAGATGTATCCTAATAAACAATGAGTATAATTGTCAAATATTTCTGGTGCTGGGGTGGGGAAGAGGGGAGAGAGTGCAACAGGAAATTTTTTAAGGAAATGTAATAAAGTTTTGCCCTAATGAGGCAGAACCAGGAAGTTAAAAAAAAAAAAAAGGCAGTTTTAAAGCTAAAGGACATGTGTTAGAAAAAGAAACAAAAAGAAAGTTGGAAGAAAGCCTGGACTATATGCATTAATTTGAGTTGCACTGTGGCATTGAACTTATTTGGAACTATTCATTTTCCTATCATTTACTGAACAGAAGGTGTCAAAAAGGGGCAGTATCTGAGGCCACACCTTGGAGCCAGGTGCAGAACACCTGGGTAGCTCCACAGGGCCTGAGAAGGAGTTTGTGGGTGAGTTTAACTTAAGAACTGAGTCTTGGACTGCTGGTAAGAGTCTATTTTATAGACTCCATCATAGGAAATCAGCAGTTTTTGACTTTCTTTTTTTTAAATTCTTTTTTGGGGGGGAGGTAGGTACTGGAGGTTGAACCCAGGGCCTCACACATGCACACACTCCACCCCTGAACTACATCCTCAACCTGTTGTTTTTCCGTTCTGGGAATTGAACCCAGGGGTACTTTACCACTGAGCCACATTGCAGCCCTTTTGATTTTTTGAGGCAGGGTCTCAGTTGCTGAGGCTGGCCTTGAACTTCTTTTACTTAGCATAATGTTTCCATGATTCATTCATATGTAGTGTGTATCAGAGTTTCTTTCCTTTTTAAGGATGAATAACATTTCATTGTGTGTGTGTGTATATATATGTGTATGTGTGTGTGTGTGTATCTAATTTTGTTTATCCTTTCATTTGTTGGACATTTGAGTTGTTGTCACATTTTGGCTATTGTGAATAAGGCTGCTATGAATGTCAGTGCATAAGAATCTATTTGAGACCTGACTTTCATTTCTTTAGGATATACCTCTACCTAAGAGTGGAATTGCTGGGTCATATGGTGACTTCTGTTTAGCTTTTTGAGTAACTGTCCCACTGTTTTTCTTAGCAGCTATTTTGCATTCTCACCAGCAATATAGAGAGGGTTCCAGTTTGTCTACATCCTGGCTGACATTTGTTATTTTCCTTTTTTTTTTTGATAATAGCTTTTCTAATGGGTGTGACTCATTGTGGTGTTTGATTTGAATTTTTGTTTTTTTTCTTTCTTTTTCTTTTTGGTACTGAGAATTGAACTGAGGGGTGCTCTACCACTGAGCTACATCCTTAGCCATTTTTATTTTTTATTTTGAGCCAGGGTCTTGCTAAGTTGCTGAGGCTGGCCTCCAACTTGAGATCCTCCTGCCTCAGCCTCCTGAGGCTTACAGGCATGTGCCACTCACTGTACCTTGTTGATTTGAATTTTTCTTTTCTTTTGTGGTGCTGAGGATTGAACCCAGGGCCTTGTGCGTGTGAGGCAAGCACTCTACCAACTGAGCTATATCCCCAGCCTGCTGATTTGAATTTTTCTAATGAGAGTGATGTTAAACATATTTTCCTGTGCCTATTGTCTGTATATCTTTGGAGAAATATCTATTCGAATCATTTGCCTCTTTTTAAATAAAGGTATTATTAATCTCTTCCCAGATATGATTCACAAATATTTTCTCCCATTCTGTAGGTTACATTTTCTTTCTAAAAAATATTTTTGATTTTTTAATTAACACATAGTAATTAAATATATTTCTATAGTGTGATGTAGTATCTGTTTTTGTTGTTGGTATTATTTGGTTTGAGACAGAATCTTACTGTGTTCCCAGGTTAGCTCAAACTTCTGGGCTTAGGGGATCACTTGCTTCAGCCTCTTAAGTAGCTGGGACTATAGGCACCCACCACTGTGCCCAGTTTGATAGTGTCTTTTGATGTATAAAAGTCTTAAATTTTGTTGAAGTCGAGTTTATCTATTTTTTTTGTTGCCTATGTTATTATTATAATTTCACTTGTGAAATTATTACTACATCTAATGTCATGAAGCTTTTCTCCTGTTTTCTTCTAAGGGTTTTAGAGGTTCACCTCTTATGTTTAGGTGTTTGGTTCATTTTGAGTTAATTTTTGCATGCAATGTGAGGTGATGATCCTACTTCATTGTTTTGCATATATATATGCAACATATATCTTGCTGGGAAAACACTATGACACTATGATAGTCAATTGACTCCAGGGTTACATTTGGATTCTCCTTTCTGTTCCATTAGTGTACATTCATGTCCTTATGCCAGTGCTGTTTTGATTACTGTAGTTTTGCAGTAACTTCTGAAATCAGGAATAGGAACTCTCCAACTTTGTTCTTATTTTAAAAATAATTTTGGGTCATCATTTTGTCAAATTCTGCAAAAAAAGCCTGCTGGGATTTTAATAGAGATTGCACTGCCTTTTTTTTTTTTTTTTTTTGAGACAGCGTGTCATTGTGTTGTTCAGGCCTCAAACTATCTTCCTGCCTCAGCCTCTTTTTCAAAAATTATTATTATATTTTTGTTTTTTTGTACTAGGAATTGAACCTAGAGGCACTTTATACCACTAAGCTACACCCCCAGTCCTTTATTTTAAGACAGGGTTTTGATAAGTTGCTGAGAGTTATGCTGAGTTGCTGAAGCTGACCTCTAACTTGAGATCCTCCTGCCTCAGCCTCCCCAGTCAATGGAATTACAGATATGTACCACTTTGCTCTGTACTTCAGTCTCTGGAGTAACTGGAATTACGGTTTGCACCACTGACTTTGGCAGTATTAAACCTTTTAATTCTTGAGCCTGGGATGTTTTCCCATTTATTCTGTTCTTTAATTTCTTTCAGCAATATTTTGTTCAGTGTACAAACCTTGTGCTGTTTTTGTTGAATTTATTCCTAAGTATTTTATTCTTTTTATGCTAGCCATAATTTCCATTTCAGATTGTTTCTTGCTAGATAAAAATATTATTGATTTTTAAATATTGATCTTACATCCTGCAACCCTTGTTAAACTCGTTTATTAGCTCTAATACTTTTTGTAGTGGATTAGCCAGGATTATCTATATATAAGATTTTGTCATGTGCAAATAAAGAAAGTTTGATTGTTCCTTTCTTATGTGGATATCTTTCATTTCTTTTTCCTATCCTGGCTAGAACCTCAGGTATAATGTTGAAAGAATTGGTGAGAGCAGACAGCTTTTTGAAAGAGTATTTTATTGGGTTAAAATACCTGTGGTCAACAGTTACCAATCCTGTCTGTTGATTGTAGACAAATTACTTACCGAAAATCAAGGACATCAATATATGTTCTGGCTACCTCACAGGGTACAGAGGATTCAAGAAAACCACCATGAAGCTAGCAAACTTTACGGTGTATATGGGTGAAGTGTCTACTCTTTAGGAGCTCATAAGCTACCTGAGGAGGCAAACTATGCATGGACATAATTATAAAAGCAAGATATGAGTGATTAGGGCTATGAATGGAATGTTTTGGCACACGATTAATTTCTGTGGCAAAAACAGTTTAGTGTTACATAGACAAATGGCTTCAAAATTTAAGATACCAGTAACATGGGCCGCCATCCACATTGGTTTGGATTCCATTTCATTTATTCTTTATTATAAATTAATATATTTATAGCATAACTAAATCCAACCCTTGTCCTATGCAAAATATTATACATCTTGTTTTATAGAATTTTACTACAATTTTGCATCCGATCAGTGTCCACAGGCAACTTTAAGTGAAAAGAAAATCTGGTAAATTAGGGATTGCATTTGTTTTCATTTGGGTAGCTTAGGTAGACTGTATAGTGTTGTTCCAAGCACTCCTTATTTGAGATTAGCTTGATAATTTTTCCCTATGGGGCCTGCATTTTGGATTATAAACATGTGAGAATATAGTCCATGACATAGCGGATGGGTTCATAAGTTTCTTCCGGGTTCTAACACAGAATCATGCTGATGATTTGTCAACAGGCTAATCTTGCCACATTTAGTGCTGCCCAGTCGCTGTGCTGTCGGTGGCACTGCGTAATCTTTGTCTTTGCTGGTCGATTTCAAGGGCTCCAATGGCCAAAGAATGGTTGGTCGGGATGTGAGGAAGCCTAAATGCTTGTGGGTACTGATGCTGCAGGATCCTGTGAATGAGTTTCTTAGAGCGCCTCCCTCATAGGGTGGGAAGAAGGCTTCCACTCCCAACACCCCCTCCTCCCTCCGCGGAGATATAGCCACACCTTCCCCCTATCGGCACGGAGCAGGTGGCCAAACTCTCGGGACATCGCGCCGCCGCTGCCGCCACCGGTGGCCCGGCCCGTTCGTGTGTCACGTGACACGGGTCAGCTGTGCCGCCGGGACCCTCAGGCACCGCGGCAGCGACCGCCCAGCGCTAGGTCTTGAAATCTCCGCCCCTCCCCCCACAATCCCGGAAAAAGGGGGAGACCGGTGACGTCATCATCCGGGCACTCGTCGGCGGGGCCACGGTTCACAATGGAACAAAACAAGCGTCCCGAGTCAAACTCAGCGACGCGGCTGCAGCTCACGCGATTAACCCTGTCCTCGCCACATACCCAGCCAGTCCCCACCGCCCAGCCCCTTCTTCAGCGTGGTATGCTAGATGTTCTCGGGCCTCCCATCCCCCCGTTTCGGTCCGTCCTCGTGCCACCTCTGCCCTCGTTCAGTTCCCAAGCCGAGGGGTATGGAACACTTTGTGGCCGTAGCGTGACCCTGGAGGGGCTGGCCGGAAGAAACGGTACTGCGTGAACAATCTTTACCGCATTGTCTCCCCCTCCCCCAACCGGCTCTCAGGGTTCTGGGCGTCTTTCGCCAGGCCCGGCCCCCAGGCGGCTCACGCGGTTCTCCCAGGC